ATGGACTTGCATGGACTTGCATGGACTTGCATGGACTTGCATGCAGTATTTGGAGCGAACTTACGTACGAACTTATGTTACCAAGTACCATCACAACAAGTTGTGTGCAACACCATCACCATCATCATGGTCAACATAGCATCATCGTCAACATCACCACACGTCACCAATGACGCCAATGCGTCACACGAACATCCCATTTTCCACGCCTTTCTGCTGCAGATCGAAATTCATCCGGAATATTTAACATGATTAAAACGTAGATAACCTATTTTACTTTTAGTTACTACTAAATGCGAACCATATCTTCGTTGGGATGTTCATGCGACTGAACTGAATAGACATGAGCACGTAAGGAACCTACCGAAGAATTTGCTCCTCTTTCCCATCTTCCTCTTGCTGTCGTCGTAGCACATCTTCGATAATTTTCCGTTCCTCTTCTGTCAAATGTGAAAGATCAGGCATTGAAGGTTGGGGTGGTCTTCGTGTAGACATGATATGCTGGTCCAATAGCTTGGTAGACGTGGAACCGAGCACAACCACTGGCTGTATCGTGGTCGTCGTCGTGGCCGTATCGATCTGCCTTCATAAATCCTTCACTTCTTGAGCTTCTAGTTCTCAAATGTTCGTACATTTAGGCTTATTGCTACATGCCGTTTCCTCTTCGCACCGTTTCCAGTGGACTGTCATCTCAAGCCGATGAAGCGAGCACATATGTATTCCATTTCCATCGCCCGCACCATCGTCGCTCAACCTTCGCAATTCCCAAAAATGGCCGCCGCTTCTCGGCGCAAACCACAATTTCCATTCCCAGTGCACATGCGGCAAATTGCAATTATCGATATCGGGCGTGGCCTGATTGGTCATTCATGCTCTTGCGTGCGTGTGATGTCACTGCTTTCGGGAAAACCAGCCAACGGAAGCCTAGCAGTAAATAAATACGTGTCGAGAGCGCAATGTTGGAAAAAGGGCGCTCACCCACCTACCCGTCTCCTTCTTCCACCGCCTCCCTGCTGAACGAATAATAAATTCGTGCTGCCGACGTGTGAGCTCCGTAGCGCGCTAAGGTCTAACATTACCTGACATTACCTCACACGCGTGAACGCGAGCACGCACGCGCGCACACACGTAGCACGTAGGAATTAGCTCACGCGCGCGTGCGTGCGTGCATGTGTATGTATATGTGTATGTATATATGTGTATGTGTATATGTGTATATGTGTATGTGTATGTGTATGTGTATGTGTTGTGTATTGTATGTGTTATGTGTATGTTGTATTTGTGTTATGTGTATTGTGTTTATGTGTATGTGTAATGTGTATGTTGTCTGTGTGTGTGTGTGGTGTGTGTGGTGTGTGTGTGTGTGTGTGTGTGTGTTAAGTGTGTATGTGTATGCTGTATGTGTAAGATGTGTATGTTGTATGTGTTGTGTATGTGTAGGCTATGTGTAGGTATGTGTATGCAGGAGTCCTATCAATAGTTGATAGACTCCTGAATCCTGGATGGTGTAATGTGTATGGTTGTGCGTGACTGGTGCGCGCGCGCCAGCTGCGCGTGCGGCGCGTGTGTGTGTGTGTGTGTGTGTGTGTGTGTGTCGTGTGTGGTGTGTGTGTTTGTGTGTGTGTGTGCTGTGTGTGTGTGTGTGTGTCGCGTGTGTGTGTGTGTGTGCATGTGTGTGTTTCGTGTGTGTATGTGTGTGTTTGTTGGTGTGTGTGTGTGTGTGTGTGTGTGGTGTGTGTGTGTATGTGTGTGTGTGTGTGTGTGTGTGTGTGTGTGTGTGTGTGTGTGTTGTGTGTGTGTGTGTTGTGTGTGTGTGTGGTGTGTGTAAGTGAGCGGTTTTGTGTCAGCGTGCGTGTGTGTTGTGCGTGTGCGTATCGTGTGCGAACGTGCGTGCGTGTTGTGTGCGTGCGTGCGTGTGCGTGTGCGTGCATGTGTCATATATGCGTGCGTGCATACTTGCGCGCGCGTGTGTGCATGTGTGTGCGCGTGCGCGCGCGTGTGTGCATGTGTGTGCGCGTGCGCGCGCGTGTGTGTGAGTATAGAGCGACACAAACTGTACAGAAATACTAACGTTATATACACGCTACATCACAGTTACACACAATCATACCTGCCAACAAAATGCCACACGTTATCTCTAAAGTCTAAACATATCATGTCACTGTAACACGTTACATGTTTGTGTAATGTGTTACTGCGTTCATTTCCACAACATACATTTAGTCTATTTAAGAAATTAATTCCGGATAACATATTGTATGTTATTGCCAGAAACCCAATTGGTGCACCCACGCGTCCAATGCAACCTGTGAAATTTTGGCGATATTAATTTTTACCTTGGTCGTTGTAACATCCATAGAAAGAAAAGGAATTTCCATTTACTATATTGTAATTCTAATTCTAATTGACGTTGTACTATATGAATTTAACATTCTTTTTAATATAAGTAAAATAATAACAGTTACTATTTAACTTTTAATTTTATCTTCCATTTGTGTACATTTTATTTGAATCAAATGAATATCAATTTCTTAATGTCATAGTGGCTTCTTTTAAGATAATTTCTGAGATAAATATAAACTATAAATAGTATTATAGTTCAATTGTACAGTAATAACGTTGTAAGTGAAATGATGGGGTAGACCATAAATCGTCTAGTACAGTGTTGTCATTGTGGCATTGTGCCATTTGGCAGTGTTGTTATGACGTGCATAGGAGTGACGGTCCACGGGAAAACTTTCGGTTCTCATGGCTTTTCGGTTTTCGGAATTGTATATAGGCGATTATGGACCTGTAGTATACAAGTGACAATTAACTAATTAAAACTGGACATCCCATAATATCGTTTAATAGAATTATATGGTGTCTACCAATAAATAACTTATCCACATAGATACGATGCGTGTATAGGATATCAAGGGCACATGAAGGGTTTATCAAAGGTATCACAGGGTTATCAAAATTATCGGTTTTATGCGCTGTTGCCATAGAAATAATATAGGTAGACTATAATATTATGTATTTCTATGGGCGTTACACCAGTCTGTCTACGAGTTGTTCTCAAAAACTAACGGGTTGCGCCACCTACTGGTCATTGACGAGTTTTGTACACGGAAAAAATATGATCGACAAAATAAGTATTCGGTATAAGAGACACTGTCTGTTGCAGCATGCCTATTATATGGGGCCTATATATGCCTTATATGCAGGGGCGTAGATAGCTGGGGGGATGCATCCCCCCACTTATTGACGTGGGGCGATGGCGTGTACAATCATCCCCACCTACTTTCGCTCACGCTGAGAGGGTCTATGTCCCCCAGGGTACTATCTAATATGCCGGACCGTACCTCGCCTACTCCACTAACGAGTCTAGGGAGTCGCCTACGCCTACTCCCTAACTCTAACCCTAACCCTAACCTTAACCCTAACGATATCAGATAGTTACCAGGGTACGTTCCTGTAAAATTTTCTGGGGGAGGACCCGCATACCCCGTATGTTTCTTACCACCCTCCTCGAAAACTTGCATTGGCCACTGTCGAGCGTAACAAATTGAGCACCCCCACTTCAAAAATCGTTCCGCGGCGCCTGTAGAATACTGCTAACAAAGATTATGATTCTGAATATTTGTATGTATATTGAAAGTCAAATTTGAGTTCATCTGACAGGGGCGTAGATAGCGGGGGGATGGGGGTATTATATCCCCCCGCACTTATTGAGGTGGGTTGGCTTAATTTCATCCCCCTTAATTACATCTACTGTAAAATGGCTGTAATTCGTTCCAAGAATGACATTATTTTACTGAAACTCAGACGGTTAATTTTGAACGCATTCCCCATATACTTTTTTTTCAAAATCCCCAAAGTCTTCTCACTGCTCACGAAAGTTAAATCCTTG